TGTCGTTATGTCTCCCCTATCTCTCTTGTCCTCCAGTGTCGTCAGGTTGATTTCCTTTAACCTCTCCTCGTAGGACATACCTCTTAGCTCTGGGACTAGTCTTGTTGCAAACCTTTGCACTCTCTAGTTTCTTTACGTGCTTGGCTAGGTGTGGGTTCCAAACTGGTGCCTCATACTCCAACATGGGCCTAACGTACACGGTGTACAGGGTCCTGAATGATTCCTTATTAAGATGTCGGAATGCTGTTCTGAGGTTTGCTAGACGCCTATATGCTGCAGCCGTTATTTGGCTGATGTGCGCTTCAGGAGATGTGCCTGGTGTTATACTCACCCCAAGATCTTTTTCCTTGAGTGAGGTTTGTAGTGTCTGGCCCCCTAGACTGTTCTCCGTCTGCAGTCTTCTTTGCCCTTCCCCAATCTTCATGACTTTGCACTTGGTGGGATTGAACTCCAGGAGCCAATTGCTGGACCAGGTCTGCAGCCTGTCCAGATCCCTTTGTAGTTCTGCCTGGTCTTCGATCGAGTGAATTCTTCTCATCAACTTCACGTCATCTGCAAACAGGGACACCTCGGAGTCTATTCCTTCCGTCATGTCGTTCACAAATACCAGAAACAGCACTGGTCCTAGGACTGACCCCTGTGGGACCCCGCTGGTCACAGGTGCCCACTCTGACACCTCGCCACGTACCATGACTCGCTGCTGTCTTCGTGACAAGTATTCCCTGATCCATTGTAGTGCCTTCCCTGTTATCCCTGCTTGGTCCTCCAGTTTTTGCACTAATCTCTTGTGTGGAACTGTGTCAAACGCCTTCTTGCAGTCCAAGAATATGCAATCCACCCACCCCTCTCTCTCTTGTCTTACTGCTGTCACCATGTGTGTGTAGGCGTGTGTGTGTGTGTGTGTGTGTGTGTGTGTGTGTGTGTGTGTGTGTGTGTGTGTGTGTGCGTGTGTGTGCGTGTGTGTGTGTGTGTGTGTGTGTGTGTGTGTGTGTGTGTGTGTGTGTGTGTGTGTGTGTGTGTAGGTGTAGGTGTAGGTGTGTAGAATGATATCGCTTCACGTCACCATACTCATCATTAGAGTCGTCCTACTGACTGAATTTAGCGAAGTTTGCGAGCTAGATGCTCGTCGTCTATGATAGCTCGCGTGATAGCACATCAGTATTCTTATTTTGCCAGTAGAAGGCCTAGGTCACATGACCAAAAGCTCCAGCTGCGAGTCATCAATATGACTCAGACCCGCGTTAGGAAACACTTGTGCTGTTTCCTGATAAACTTTACCTAACTCGAATGACGAAGAGCGAAAGCGTTTGCTGCGAGTGTCACTTCGAGGTTATTAACATCTGACGTAATGGTTCGTAATATAAAGGAGTTAGATATGCGGTGAGTCAGAGTGGCTCCTCCGGTAAGTTCCTGTCGGGATTGTGCAGTTGCTTAATGAACCGGATAATAAAGTGGTGAAGAAAAGAGGAGGAGGAGGAGGAAAAGGTGGGATGAGGAGCAGGCAGGAATAGGAGGACGAAGAGGCAGAGGAAAAATGGGAAGAGGAGAGAGGAAGAGGGAGGAGGGCATAACAGGGGAGAGAAAGACGAAAAGGGAGAGGAGGAGGAAGTAAGGGGAAGAAAACGAAGGGAGGAGGAGGAAGGGGGAGGAGGACCAAAATGAGGGAGGAGGAAAAGAAGGATGAGGAGAGGAGAAAGGAGCAGCAGAAGGAAAATGAGGAGGATGAGAAGGATGAAGAGAATGGAGAGGAGGAGGAGAATGCAAAGGAGGAGAATGCAAAGGAGGAGGAGAATGCAAAGGAGGAGGAGGAGGAGGAGGAGGAGGAGGAGGAGGAGGAGGAGGAATTTGACTGACAGCCTGAGTAATTCACTCATGGACTGACAGACCCACACCCAAGACCAACTAGAGATTCAACCAAGATTTACAAGAGACTAGTCATCAAGCATTTATCAACACCGAAGCAAACATTACCATGATCTGTTTATCACTCCTGTTTATATCTCCGGTCGTCCACCACCACTGTTAAGTCAACTTTTCTTGGTACTGTCGACTTTACCAACCTGGAGACAGGTTGGTGTACTGGTATACGAAGGCATGAGTATACCCGTGACTAACATGAGGGAGTTGAGCGGCAGCTTTTCCCAAAGGCAATTTGTCTGCGTACCGAAATAGCAGTTAAAATACAATTGATCAACACTATTGTTATTATTATTACTATTATTATCGTTGGAGTCGTTTAAACAATAATAATCAAAGGGGATCTGAAGAATGGGAGATAAAATGGTTTGAATCAGAAAGAAAGACTATCCCCAGTTCACTGAATCAAGAGCTTTGTAATTATACAGAAATTACACTACGGATATTACAACGTCACAGCAAGAGTAATATAGTATTCAGGTCATGGAGTAATAGTGTCCAGGTAAAGGAGTAATACATACAAAACTCAAATCAAGGAACAATACAATGTTCAGATCCTGGAATGATAGTGTTCAAGTCTTGGAGTAACAGTTTTCAGGTCACTGATTAACAGTCTACAGGTTAATCAGAATGATCAGTAATAACCGGATAAGCAGAACACTCTGGATACCCGTGAGGTAGTGATCCTCTTTTCATATTTACAAGCTTGTAAAATGTTTGTCCTGTAAATCAGCTACAGGTCAAAATTTAGGCGAGACTCGTGTTAGGAAAGACTAGTTCAGTTTCCTGACAAACAAATCACAATCACCAGTTGGGACCAGAACCGTCCCCGTTTTTGCCTAAGCAAATTTAGAATAAATATAATAGAAATAAATTCAATCAACATGATGTAAATATGTAATACGAGTAAAAGAAAAACGTTAATAAAACGCCAACGGGAACTGTTTTGCTTTCAAGTCCCTGACGTTTGATCTTCTGACTCGCTGTTGTGTGCAGGAAATAAAGCAATATAACAATAAACTTCTTTATTCTTGAATACAACCACGTTTGAGTATCTTCATTCTGGAAACGTTTCGCCAGCTTGTGGTTTCTTCAATCTAATACAGAGAAGAACGGTAGAAGATGAGGCGTTTGAAGCAATCAGTCCCCATAGCTTAGAGTCTGGGTGTTCAGTCCAGAATCAAACCCCCACAACTCAAAGGAAGTTTTCTTTCCAAATCGTTGCCATTAGAAATGTGAAAACTTTCATTGCTCCTCTGCCATTTCCTGGTTCCATCTCTCGCTCGCTGGAGCCACAAGACCAGGAAATTTGTGTGATCTTTCAAGAGCTCTTCAGAGGCATAAGATTTCAGGAGCAATCCACTTCCAACCTCAAAAGCCAGTGTTACGCTGGGTACATCATTTAGCTTTTTTACGTATAGGGAGACTAGTAAGTCGGACGTTATGTGGACATTATTATAAATAATTTACATAATTTACGTAATTCAAATAATGTATATGAAGGAGATACCTGTGCAACACTTGGCTATTTCAACTCTGAAAACGTTTCGCCAGTCTAATACAGAGAAAACAGAGGTAAATCTTCTCGTTGGCGATACTTTACCATAATAAAGATACGCAAGTGTTGCGTATAACTCATTCAACACATGGGCAGCCTCGTGTCGTTCTGTATAGTTTTTTTTTTTTTAGTACAAATATCGACGTCCTCTACGATCACCGAGTATCACCTGAGTACTTAACATCTTCTGAATGTAAATCTATCTTTGGAAGAGTCACGTATTTTTTTTTTTTTTTGAGGGGGGTGCTAATGTTTCCGGGATAAATTTCTTCTGGTTCACGAGTCATTTATGTTTACATATAGATATGTATTTACACTTGCAAATATGTATTTACATGCAGGGAACGCCTACAAGTAAATAGTGAAAGCTACACTCTTTGGGCCTAGATTTTCCTGTTCAATAGTTTAGCATTACTGCCTTAGAAGAGTCAGTTGTAGTATTACACACACAAAAAAAATATTGGACATCACACAATACAACTTCATATATAATTAAGTTTAACAACCACGGAGACATCACACATACGTGTCTAGGACCTACTTTCACTGGGTAATAGTCGTCCCTCGTACATACCCCGAGCCTCACTCTACATCAACGCTGTGTTCCATACACTTACCATATCTGCTACACGGTTTTTCTAGCTATTAAAAAAATGCTTATAATCATAACCGTAATTTTTAAAGGGGGTGGACCGGTAAGCCAGCGGAAGGCATCTGCAGGATGAGCAAAAGCTGCAGTAGTGGATCATGTGACTATGTGACTATGATCCACGTTAGGAAACACTTCTCTTTTCCTGACAAGTTTTACATAACCTGAACCCTCTCCTAGCTACCCTATTATATGCCTTTTATAAACCTATTAAGGCAACAAGTAGCTCTTTACTCTCACCTAAGTATTAATCACTATTCTGCTACTTTTTAAACCCTTAGTCTACACATCCCCTAACCATCCTAAATCCTCCGTGTTTCTAGCAGTCCCATTTTCAATCATAATTTTCACTAAACTTTATACCTGGTAAACTCTACACTGGAACTATGCACTTCCATGAACATATAACATTTAGCTAATAGTGTTTTTATACAAGACTGTTTCCTTTCACATTTTAGAAAATTTCCCACATTTATCACTATTTCTTTTTCAATGTTATCAAAATCCCTGGTATATTTTTGTTAACTGCACTGGTCCACAAACATCCCCAGAATGGCAGATGTTCACAATTTTTTTTTTTTTTTTTTCTGCCGATGGGATTTCTAAGACATTTTATCTTTACCCAAAAGCAGGTGATGAGATGATCTGACTACACCCCCCTCACACCAACCCCCCACACCCCACCCCTACCTCCCCTACCACTCCACCCATCCACACCCCGCCTGTTACACGGTAAAATTAAGCAGAGTATCGATCATGAACAGATCTACATTAAAAAAAAAAACAAATCCTGCCGAGAGACTATTTTGACGGAGAAACATATGCTTAAATCTCTAGAAGACTTATAGGTAAATAGTGCAGCAGTAAATGACTCACCTGGTAGCTGCGTCCTGGCATGCCTCCCACGTACAACAGCGTGTTCATCGGGATCTCCAGTGTGGACCGTCTCAACATCTGACGGCTGATCCAGCGACAGTCCACGTACACCTGGATGCTGTTGTCTTCCTGCACACTGCAGAGGTAGGGAGTAGCAACAGCAGAATAAAGGGGAGTGTTGGCAGCATGAGCCCCCAACAGAATTGACAATACCAGCACACATGGCAAACGTATCAGCACCAGTACCGGTGGCAATGATACCAGTAAGACTCATGTGCCATTGGTATTAGTATCATTACCAGTGCCATCCGTCCAAGGACAGCCAGCAGCAACACGAACAGGACCACCGTCAGTATCAGTACCAACACCAGCATTAGTCATTAGTAGCAGCAGCAGAAGCAGCAGTATTATCACCAGCAGCAGCAACAGTATCAGCACCAGGAGCAATGCCATCAATAACATTAGCAGCATTAGGATCATCGTCGTTGCAAATTACCAACAAATAAAGAAGACAATTATTTCAGTGTTGTATCTATGATTATGATAATTATCATCACCGTTTTAACAATTAACATTCAACTAAGAATGAGTAACGCATCAACATTCAATGCTCTACCATTAAAGATATAAACATATTCAAATACAAAGTGGTTAACACTTCCATAACTTTTTCCTTTTTCACGTTTTCAATGGCCGTCGTCACTCAGCACAAGCCACATGTAAAGTACATTCTCCTACACAGTTCCACCACTCACTACCAAACACATCCAGAGGTAAGTTACTACTGCCGGTGCGTCTATTGTGAACCACGAGGCCAACGCGGCCACACGACTGACACCCAGGTACCCATTATTACTGATGGGTGAACATGGGCAACCGATGTAGGGAAACACGCCCAATGTTTCCACTCCTTCGCCGGGAATCGAACCCGCAACTCACCACGTGAAGCGAGAGCTTTTGCCACCAGGCCACGGGACGCCGGGACCTGTCGTTTACAGTTGGATCAATCGTTATTAATATTATTATACATTATTATATATATTATTTTTATTCAGAAAAAAACATACTGATGCTGTTCTTATATATTTTTCCACCATTAAATATTTTAAATTACTTAATACTGCGCAGATTTAGTCACTGTACAATGTTAAGGGCATAAAAAATCGCATAAGAGAAACACCTCACAAAAGAGAAACTGACCGTCCAACCATTTAAATTGTTTCAAGATTGTTTGAACAAGTTACATATTTTTCTGAATGTGATCTCAAGAATTTTTGGCATCTAAAGGTATTAATATTTTGCAAATTAGCGACTAGAAAATAGCTAGTTATTGTGAAGAATCTAGTGAGCTCTAGAGAATGTAACTTTAAAGACAGGCTATAAAATATCTTATTCTCTACACATATGCTGCTATGTATGATAATTCTATGTAACTGTATTTGTGTATACCCGAATAAACTTACTTACTTACTTATTTAAGCACAAAGACTGGGAACAACTGGGTAACTTGGAGGTGTTGCGAAAACTCACCCCTTAAGGGAGGTTCCTTGATGCTGGTGAGGGGCTCTTGATCTAGGGAATTGGATCTGTGCTCCAGTTCCCTGAATTAAGCCTGAATACCTTCCATTCCCCCCCACACCCACACAGGTGCTATATAATCCTGCGGGTTTAGAGCTTCCCCATAATTATAATAATGCGAAAACTTAGAAACACTAGAACAACTTACGACTATTGAAGTAACTTGAAACTGGTAAAAATACCAACAAAGTGCTGGAAATTTAGAATAGTTTGAGCAATTTAGAAGCTCCTGAACACTTTACTAGTGTGGAAGAACATAGACATTTTGAAACACTTTAGAAACTCGGGATAAACTTTGATCTTTTGACACAGCGTTGGAACTTTTATAGAACTTAGACATGGTTAAACAGCTTAGAATTACTGGAATTTAAAACTGTTCGAACATCTTAGATATACTAGAATAATTTAGATTTTTTTTTGAATTAGAAATACTGGAATTATTGTTATTATTATTATTATTATTATTATTATTATTATTATTATTATTATTATTATTATTATTATTATTATTATATTTACGGAGAAGCGCTTAACCCGCAGGAGTCAGAGCCTTTAGAATGTGTGACAGCTTAGCTCAAAGAAATGGGAGGAAAAGTTCAGTTCTCTCGCTCAAGAACCTCTCACCAGGAACCTCCTAGGAAGGGTGGAAAGACTTATATCTTAAGGAACATTTAAAAAGCCGTGGCTCAGTTGATAGGGTTCTCAGCTCATATACTGAGGGGTTCCTGGTTCGATTCCCAGCACGGATGGAAATATTGGGCATGTTTCCTCCCATCTGCTGCCCCTCTTCACATAGTAATAATAATAATAATAATAATAATAATAATAATAATAATAATAGATAATATCTTTATTTCTAAAAGTACATGTACAAGGTATACAGGCCTAGCTGACATCAGTGACATACTACTATATAGAAAGCCACTTGTTATGCAGAGCATTTCGAGCAAATTAGTTCAATTGTGTCCCAGGATACGACCCACACCAGTCGACTAACAGCCAGGTACTCATTTTACTGATGGGTGAACAGGGACAGCAGGTGTCTTATGGAAACGCGTTCTAGTTTTCGAGCCGTACCGGGGAATCGATCCCCAGACCTCAGTGTTTGAGTTGAGTGCGCTAACGATCGAGCAACGGACATTTCAATAGTATATAGTAGTATGTAGTACATAATAAGTATTAGTCGACTTCTGGGAGTCGCATCCCAGGACTTGGCTCAGAAATGACCTGAGGCAGAATGACATCTCTTTGGCCTGTAAACTCAACCGTATTAGCAAATGAGATGGAACTTATATTTCTAGGAAGTTACATATGGTGGAATTTAGACATGATGAGACTAACTTAGACGAGTTAGAACTACTGGAATGATTAACAGTTCCAATAAGGCAGCTGAGGTGGTTAACTCTTACTGATCATTAAACCCAAGAACTGACTTACGTTCATGCATCCATTTGGATCAGAAATATTTTTTTTTATTGTTAGAGATAAACCAGCATGGTTAATAAAGAGCCTAAGGTATGGAAGGTAATAAGGGTTAATCCAAGGACGGGGAGAGTAGCTCCAATTCCTCAAATCAAAGCCCTACACTGCATTCAAGACCTTCTTTCCCAATTCCTTCAGGATATTTCTTTAAAAAGAGTCAGGAATTGTTAGATATGCTCTAGATGCGGGTTTTTTTCAAGATGAGTAGTTTAATGTTTGTGAAAAAAACTCTTGGTCTAAGGAACTAGAGCTATTCTACAATTACTGAGTTAAACCTGATTGACTAGAAATTATATAGCAACTTACTGTTACAATAATATTCTACTTGAAGCAATATTACTAGATCACGGTAACTAAAATATTAAATAATATATGAATATCAGGTAACCAAATTAAAGAAACAAAATTTGCATAGTACTGAGATACAACAGAATAAATCTAACGTTACAATTATACAGTAACAACGCATTTCACTAAAAATTTCAACTACAGACAATTCCATTGGTTCTGGTACACAAAACAACGCTCACTAATCTTTTTTCTGCACATGTTGACATTTATTTCTATTGAGAGACAAGTTTTACTTCTAATTGGGTTACCTTTGATATGGAACCGAGTAAGGCAACTAATTTTTAACAGTTATCCCTGACGTATTATACACACAGTAATAAAAATATATTCTGATCAATAGTTTTGAACATCACAAGTCAGTTTATACAATGAGTAGAGATGTTACCTATATTAACCTTTATTACAATGGACATATAACTTTTTCTAAATAGAACTTTATATACTTGATCTATACACCCAAATTTCCTTCATATTAGTCTGAACCAACTCCTTAACAATTGACTGATAAGGCTGGAAGATAATACCTACACCTTTATTCTCAAATATTATCTGTAATTATGGATGTCCTAATTCTTCGTTTTGATACATTGGTGGTCCTATACAAAGCTTCAAAAATAAATACATTTTTTAACTCGTCGGCCATTTCCCACCGAGGCAGGGTGACCCAAAAAGAAAAACCCAAAAAAAAAAAAAATTAGACGATCCTCCAAACTGCCAATATCTCAAACCCCTCCTTTAAAGTGCAGGCATTGTACTTCCTATTTCGAGGACTCAAGTCCGGCTAACCGGTTTCCCTGAATCCCTTCACAAAATATTACCCTGCGCTCACACTCCAACAGCTCGTTAGGTCGCGAAAACAATTCGTCTCCATTCACTAACACGCTCACGCAGGCTTGCTGGAAGTCCAAGCCCCTCGCCCAGAAAACCTCCTTAAACCCCCCTCCCACCAACCTTCTCGGGGACGACCCCTACCCCGCCTTCCTTAAAAATAAATATGTGCATAAAAGTGTACAAGGTGTTTTAAATTGATGACCCAATTTCAAAGCGGTTTACTTTGAAATTGGGTCAATCATTTTCAAACACTATGTATTTCCTGGAACAGGTCCTAATTATCCTACTTATTCAAAAAATAAATTAAAAAAAAAGAACATTAGTTTAAGAACCGTAGTTCATGAACTATTTTGTTTATAAAATTTGAATAAATGCAGAAATTCTCTTGACAGATTGTTGAAGTTTTTATATATTCATCGTCCACAACCAGAGATCAATGATAATTGAAATATTAGTTTATATTTCTTCTGTTAAATATTGTATTTTTGCTTAACATTAATACTCTTCATTTGACAGTTAACGTAATAATATTTGCTCACTGGAACACAATAATTTTCTTAAAAATATTTGTTATTTTTGGACTATTAATAAACAATTGTATCTCATATATATGACTGAGTAATTTACCTGGCTCTATTGTTTGTATAATTTTTATACAAAATTTTTAGTTATGAAATTTTTAGATTTATTTACACAGGAAATATAAACCGACTGATGTAGTTCTTTCGGTGTATATATGCACAGTTTAGCTAAATCTCTATTTTAGAAATGAAATCTTACTCGTCTGGTGGCGAAAAAGTTTGGTGCAGCCATATTGATTACCATTATCAATACGTTTTAAACCCCAGTAACCATCCTTTCAGTTTCACCTCTAGTAAAACGTACGTTTAATTCTGTTATTCAATTTTAAGTAGGTTTTACTGTTTTTCTTTGCTTATACTAATTATATTAATTGGTTATACTAATTATATTAATTGGTTATACTAATTATATTAATTGGTTATACTAATTATATTAATTAGTATTAAACCAGTATGATCTATGCTATTACTTGAAGAATGAATTTAAATATTTCAATATAATTTTAGATTCTTCAAGTGGATGAAGAAACACCCAAAATATCGAGCATTAAAATAAGCTATGTTGTTAGGGTTGGCATGTCCTGTGTAATTGGTGGGTACCTAACGTTTGCAGTATGGTGGCGTAGTGGACTAAGGCGTTGAGAATGTAGCTAATCTCCCAGGAGACTGGCTAAATAACCACTGTGAAAGAATAGTGAAATTCCAAGCGCTTTCTTGACTCCTCACATTATCAAGCAACTATATATATATATATATATATATATATATATATATATATATATATATTTATAGGATAATGTTAGAAATCACAAAAACACTTTTCTTCCACAGTGGTTGTTTTGCATATTCTGATATCACTTGTTTACTGTGATCTTATTGCAAGTATATATATATATATATATATATATATATATATATATATATATATATATATATATATATATATATATATATATATTACGAGGGAAATGGTATGAAATGTTTAGAACCAGTCGATTCCCCAGCACTGCATACTACCTTTCCACATCGGGTAACGTGAAAGAACTATTGTTATTTCCATCCTAGGAGTAGGAATTGTTACATCGGAAGGAAGGAGATGTTATAGTGGACGTTAAATTCTTGAAGCTCTCACCGATGCAATTAACTTATTATGAAGGGTAAACTTTGGTAACACCCCTAACCTAATTCGTCGTTATCTTAATTAGATAATAACTATTAATACGATAGCATCTAGCCTGAGACAGCTATTTAGACAGTTAAGTTAGACTTAGAACATAGGCATAGGTAGCATAACGTACTGCCATTGCCTCACCATTGTAGATCTCAGTAAGGCAACAGTGCCACTTCAGAGTTTTGAATCCCAGGCACTTGGGGCAGTCAGCCCCAATATCCCCTGGCAACCGGCCGTATATCACCATGTAGAATATAAGGAGCGCGATAAATCAGGATTAATTACCGTATTATCCTGCATTAAGGCATTCTTCCCCCCCCCCCCCCCCCGAAATATAAAAATGATAACTCTCCCGATGTTGGAAGGGTAATGAAGATTAGGAGAAAAGGAGTTTTTAATTTTTTTTCCACAATATGTCTGTCCAATTGGGATGTGTCTTATAGACTCGTGCGCCTTAAATGCCGGAAAATTCGGTACGCTGTCCCAAAATTCTATAGAATAGGCTCAGTGGCTCAAGTAGTCCCTACATCCATGAACAAGCAAGCATCTTAGCTGATGTTCACAGCACAAGTAAATCAGTATCAACTCATACCAGTGTTAGAAATCGCTCAGTTATCGAAAACACTTAGGTTTTGCTGGTTTCACTTGAGGGGCAGCTGGAAGTCTGGCGTCTGCAGGAAGGCCACATCGAGACCCAACATTTAAAATACGATCAGTCTACATCAGTCTAAACGTTGGTAAGTGTATACCAGTGTACATTATTTATATCCCAAACAGAGTCTGGTAACGTCAGTCCAAGTTATACTAGGCGTGAGGTGCTGCTTATGCTATCCTGGGTCTTAAATGCTAGAAATTAGAGGCTGTTTACGAGGTTCTGGGTTTGGGTTGCTAGGTACAAAGGTGATGTGTAGAGGCAGGTCCAGCATTACATAACGCTACTTTACAGCGTGTCGCTAATGCAGCGGTTTTTCAATTATACTCAATCTTCATTTAGACTTCCTACAATAAATATAGTCATCACTCTTATATGCTAAGAACGAAATTATTTTAAGGTAAGTAATGTGTGTACCGTGTAAGTATTTTTTAGGCCTAGCTATAGTGCTCACTTAATATTTAGTAGTGTAAAAATGTTATCAGGCTTTTATTTTAATTAGAAAATGAAAAAAAGGTAATGTTTCACTTTACAGCGATTTTCTCTTTATAGCAGTAGCCTTGAACCTAATCTGCTGTTTAAGCGGGGCCCTCCTGTATAGGTAATGGGTGAGGGATGCTAGAAGTGAAGTATTTAACTCTGGGTACTGGATATGAAGTGTTGAGCTGTTCCTTCAGTGTTTCCACTTTATGCAATAATTCCTTTCCTTATCTTTCCTCTGCTCTAGCCAACATCTCTTGCTCTCAGATTTCCATTAGCTTAATTGTTATATAACGCTATATAAACAATATGGTCGTCATATCTATATCTCTTTATATCACTATTTCTCTCTCTCTCTCTCTCTCTCTCTCTCTCTCTTCTCTCTCTCTCTCTCTCTCGTGCTATCCTTCCTTCACTTCATACACCAACCCATCCATAACAAAAGTATATCACACACTAAACAATGAACACGGCAACACAAGAGTAACTACACACGGGTAATCAAAAAAAAGTATCTCGCAACAGGTAAACACAAGTAGTTTGTTGCAGACTTCCCAGATAAACAAAAAGTTTCCACAGACACAAACAGGTAGCAAAGTACAGCTGCGCACACTTTTACACCCACTCGCAACAACCTTCAACAAGTCAGTTGACACAGGGCAACTGCCAGAGGTGTGGAAGACAGAAAATTTAGTTCTAGTATTTAAGAAATGAGACAGAGAGGTAGCGCAAAAATACAGGCCAGTGGTTATGATATGCTTAGTATGCAAAGTTATGGAGGAGATAATCTGAAGAATGGTGGAGCACTTAGAAGTGGGTTCATAAATGACAACCAGCCCCTCTTCAGGGATGATAAAGCCTGTATCACAAACATTATGGAGTTCTACGACAAGGTAACAGAAGTAAAACAGGAGAGAGGGGGAGAGAGATAGGGTTGGATATATTGCATATATGTATTTGGGATTGTGGAGCTGCTAAAATAAAAGAGGAAGCAGGACAACGGATAAAGGAATAGTTAACAGGAAGAAAGCAACGACTGACTGTCTAACCGGGAAGAGGAGTCGGAATGGATGTATGTGATGAGAGGGGTTCCACAAGGATCAGTATTAGGAACGGTATTATTTCTTGTACGTGTGCACAACTTGACGGATGGGACAGAGTCAGAGGCATCCCTGACCGAAGAGGATGTGAAACAAGAGAATACAAACAGGTGAGGACAAGGGAAGACTTCAAGTGGAGTTGAACAGACTGCACTTCTGGTCTCACAAGTGGCTGCTAGAATTCAACCCTCGTCAAGTGCAAAGTTATGAAGATTGGGAATGGGCAAAGCAGAACAGGATTCTGGAGCAAAGGCTACAAACGCGGGGTGAGCATTGTACCAAACATTTGACCAAAATAACTGCTACCAACATTTTCGCCTGGAAAACCAAAGACAAGCTTTCAAGGAGCCATCCACGACACTATACTATTTACGTCATACGGCAGTACCATACACACACACACAGATGTGTCAAAGGGATGTTAGGAAGTATTTCTTCAACCACAGAGTTGTTAGAAAGTGGAATAGTCTGGCAAGTGATGTAGTGGAGGCAGGAACCATACATAGTATTAAGACGAATTATGATAAAGCTCGTGGAGAAGGGAGAGGGAGGATCCAGTAGCGGTCAGTAAAGAGCGGGGCCAGGAGCTAGTCTCAACCCTCGCAACCACAATTAGGCGAGTACACATAAACACACGCACACACGCTGCTACTGACACTCAGGTAATCACGCACCTGATCGCCAGCTGGTGCCAATGACCGTCAGTGAGGTTAACATTGATGGGAGCAACATTGATAGGTAGCACATCGTCTTCCCTGGTGGGCCCAGTGTGGAGCAACTCCAATCCCGTTCCCAGGCCCAGTCCAAGGTACACCTCGCCCCCATAGGCCCGGTGCATTATGAACAGCATACCCTGTAGGGGAAACACGGCTGATGTGAACCTGACCTCAGGGGCAGAACATGATGTGATGAACAGTATAGCTTGTGGTGGAGAACAGGAGTGTGGTGAACAGCATAACCTGTGAGGGAAAATATAGTTATGTTGAACAGCTTGCTGTGAGATGGAGAACATGGGTGTTTCGAAGAACATTCTCTGCTGGGGAGAACTTTTGTCAGGTAAACAACATGCCCTGGTGAATATGACCTGTGGACAAGAACATGGGTGTGGTGAACAGCATACCCTATAGGGGAATAACATTAGTATGTGTGGTGAACAGTTTGCAATGAGAGAACAAGAATATGATTACCAGGAATTAAGAGGGTTATGAGGAACAGGTTAAGAGAACACTAGAATGGTGCAAAGGGAAGAGAACAGGGGAATGATGAACAGGAAGCTAGAACTACGGTATAATGAAACATTATGAAACATCATGAAAAATTATGAAACATGCCTAGTTCCACTAGGTACATTATGTTTAAGGGTTTGTATTGTCCAGTGATTAGAGAATCGAGATTTTGACTTGCTTCCCCATGATGCGGGGCTAAAATAACACGGGTTCGATCCTCGGCCAGCCGCAGATTCTCAATTACATTATATATATATGTCGTGTCTAATAGGTAAAACTGGTCAATTAGCAAGAACTCATTTAAAATTAAGTCCTTTCTAAAATTTTCTCTTATACGTTTAAAGATATATTTTTTTCATTAATGTTAATGTAAAAATTTATAATTTTGTACCAATAAAATCTTAGAAAACTTACCTAACCTTATTATAAAAAGCCCAATTTATTTTAGCCTAATCCAACTAAATATATTTTAAATATGCTTACAATAATTTAATACTAAATAAACACAATGAAATATATTTTTTTTCGTTAGGTTCAGAATGATTTTGGCGAAATTATTGCATACACAAATTTTCACTTGTCCTATATGGCAAGATGAGCGTTGCTATTTAAGCCAAGATCGCAGTTTTCTGCCTATTCGGCACGACATATATATCTTTCTTTCTTCTTTCAACACACCGGCCGTATCCCACCGAGGCAGGGTGGCCCAAAAGGAATTCGCAAGAGCAGGCGAAATATACACAAACACTGATCTCTGGCTGAAGGAGACTCGAACCTACGAACCTTGGAACAAGGTACGCAATGCTTTACCAATCTACCCACACTGGACCAATACCTTGGAGTCCAGCTTGCGCTAGACTTTGATCCAAGGCAGCCAGCTTTCAGGGAGAAGGCTTACAGCTTTTCATCTCATCCCCTGCATGCATCACCCTTAATAGAGATATTAACAAAATCTAGCGCAAGCTGGACTCCAAGGTATTGGTCCAGTGTGGGTAGATTGGTAAAGCATTGCGTACCTTGTTCCAAGGTTCGTAGGTTCGAGTCTCCTTCAGCCAGAGATCAGTGTTTGTGTATATTTCGCCTGCTATTGCGAATTCCTTGCATTGTTAATATCACTAGTAAGGGGCTCCGGTACAATTGAATGCTAATTGCGATGGGGACTCCGCTACAATTGAGTGTTCATTGCGATGGGGACTCCGGTACAATTGAGTGTCCGTGCACTGGGGACTGTGGTACAAATAAGTGGTCATGAACTGGGGAGTCCGTCCAGCTCCATGCTGCACCAGGCTACTATAACGTGGCTGTAAGGATATAATAATTAAATCACTGCACGAAGTAGCAAAATGCCATTATACTGAGCGACAGAAAGTGTGACTTGAATTTCTTTGGTGAGTTTATACCTAAATTGTGGCGGATGAGGTAAATAAATTCCCAAGATTTGATCAAGAAAAACCTTAACTGTAGAATGAAAATAATTTAGAACGTATTTACGTCACCAGATTAGGAAAATGCAAATTTGTTTTTATGTTATCGTGTGAGGTATTCACTGAAAGAAGTGTTGGAGGTTCGATACTCCTTCCGCTAATCGTTATGCAGATGCGCTACTCTCGCTTCCAGTAAAGTTCAGACGACAATCATGCGAATACTAAGACATTTCATTGCGAAAATCCTTATGAACAAAGGCAAATATACGTCCAAGACACGACTAATCAAATATTTACCAGAGCACAATCAGAATTTTATTCGTAAAATTAAGAAACCCTCAGCTTCACCATGTATAATGTTCTAGCACCCTCAGCTTCACCATGTATAATGTTCTAGCACCCTCAGATTCACCATGTATAATGTTCTAGCACCCTCAGATTCACCATGTATAATGTTCTAGCACCCTCAGCTTCGTCATGTATAATGTTCTAGCACCCTCAGCTTCACCATGTATAATGTTCTAGCACCCTCAGATTCACCATGTATAATGTTCTAGCACCCTCAGATTCACCATGTATAATGTTCTAGCACCCTCAGCTTCGTCATGTATAATGTTCTAGCACCCTCAGCTTCACCATGTATAATGTTCTAGCACCCTCAGCTTCGTCATGTATAATGTTCTAGCACCCTCAGCTTCGTCATGTATAATGTTCTAGCACCCTCAGCTTCACCATGTATAATGTTCTAGCACCCTCGCTTCACCATGTATAATGTTCTAGCACCCTCAGCTTCAACCATGTATAATGTTTCTAGCACCCTCAGCTTCACCATGTATAATGTTCTAGCACCCTCAGCTTCACCATGTATAATGTTCTAGCACCCTCAGCTTCACCATGTATAATGTTCTAGCACCTCAGCTTCACCATGTTAATGTTCTAGCACCCTCAGCTTCACCATGTATAATGTTCTAGCACCCTCAGCTTCACCATGTTATAATGTTCTAGCACCCTCAGCTTCACCATGTATAATATTCTAGCACCCTCAGCTCACCATGTATAATGTTCTAGCACCCTCAGCTTCACCATGTATAATGTTCTAGCACCCTCAGCTTCACCATGTATAATATTCTAGCACCCTCAGATTCACCATGTATAATGTTCTAGCACCCTCAGCTTCACCATGTATAATGTTCTAGCACCCTCAGCTTCGTCATGTATAATGTTCTAGCACCCTCAGCTTCGTCATGTATAATGTTCTAGCACCCTCAGCTTCGTCATGTTTAATGTTCTAGCACCCTCAGCTTCACCATTTATAATGTTCTAGCACCCTCAGCTTCACCATGTATAATGTTCTAGCACCCTCAGCTTCACCATGTATAATGTTCTAGCACCCTCAGCTTCACCATGTATAATGTTCTAGCACCCTCAGCTTCACCATTTATAATGTTCTAGCACCCTCAGCTTCGTCATGTTTAATGTTCTAGCACCCTCAGCTTCACCATGTATAATGTTCTAGCACCCTCAGCTTCACCATTTATAATGTTCTAGCACCCTCAGCTTCACCATGTATAATGTTCTAGCACCCTCAGCTTCACCATGTATAATGTTCTAGCACCCTCAGCTTCGTCATGTTTAATGTTCTAGCACCCTCAGCTTCGTCATGTATAATGTTCTAGCACCCTCAGCTTCACCATGTATAATGTTCTAGCACCCTCAGCTTCACCATGTATAATGTTCTAGCACCCTCAGCTTCGTCATGTATAATGTTCTAGCACCCTCAGCTTCACCATGTATAATGTTCTAGCACCCTCAGCTTCACCATGTATAATGTTCTAGCACCCTCAGCTTTCGTCATGTTAATGTTCTAGCACCTCAGCTTCGTCATGTATAATGTTCTAGCACCTCAGCTTCACCATGTATAATGTTCTAGCACCCTCAGCTTCACCATGTATAATGTTCTAGCACCCTCAGCTTCCACCATTTATAATGTTCTAGCACCCTCAGCTTCACCATGTATAATGTTCTAGCACCCTCAGCTTCGTCATGTTAAATGTTCTAGCACCTCAGCTTCGTCATGTATAATGTTCTAGCACCCTCAGCTTCGTCATGTATAATGTTCTAGCACCCTCAGCTTCGTCATGTATAATGTTCTAGCACCCTCAGCTTCGTCATGTATAATGTTCTAGCACCCTCAGCTTCGTCATGTTTAATGTTCTAGCACCCTCAGCTTCACCATGTATAATGTTCTAGCACCCTCAGCTTCGTCATGTATAATGTTCTAGCACCCTCAGCTTCACCATGTATAATGTTCTAGCACCCTCAGCTTCGTCATGTATAATGTTCTAGCACCCTCAGCTTCACCATGTATAATGTTCTAGCACCCTCAGCTTCACCATGTATAATGTTCTAGCACCCTCAGCTTCGTCATGTTTAATGTTCTAGCACCCTCAGCTTCACCATGTATAATGTTCTAGCACCCTCAGCTTCGTCATGTATAATGTTCTAGCACCCTCAGCTTCACCATGTATAATGTTCTAGCACCCTCAGCTTCGTCATGTATAATGTTCTAGCACCCTCAGCTTCACCATGTATAATGTTCTAGCACCTCAGCTTCACCATGTATAATGTTCTAGCACCTCAGCTTCACCATGTATAATGTTCTAGCACCCTCAGCTTCACCATGTATAATGTTCTAGCACCCTCAGCTTCACCATGTATAATGTTCTAGCACCCTCAGCTTCACCATGTATAATGTTCTAGCACCCTCAGCTTCGTCATGTATAATGTTCTAGCACCCTCAGCTTCACCATGTATAATGTTCTAGCACCCTCAGCTTCGTCATGTATAATGTTCTAGCACCCTCAGCTTCGTCATGTATAATGTTCTAGCACCCTCAGCTTCGTCATGTATAATGTTCTAGCACCCTCAGCTTCACCATGTATAATGTTCTAGCACCTCAGCTTCGTCATGTATAATGTTCTAGCACCCTCAGCTTCACCATGTATAATGTTCTAGCACCCTCAGCTTCGTCATGTATAATGTTCTAGCACCCTCAGCTTCGTCATGTATAATGTTCTAGCACCCTCAGCTTCACCATGTATAATGTTCTAGACCCTCAGCTTCGTCATGTATAATGTTCTAGCACCCTCAGCTTCACCATGTATAATGTTCTAGCACCTCAGCTTCGTCATGTATAATGTTCTAGCACCCTCAGCTTCGTCATGTATAATGTTCTAGCACCCTCAGCTTCACCATGTATAATGTTCTAGCACCCTCAGCTTCGTCATGTATAATGTTCTAGCACCCTCAGCTTCACCATGTATAATGTTCTAGCACCCATCAGCTTCGTCATGTATAATGTTCTAGCACCCTCAGCTTCACCATGTATAATGTTCTAGCACCTCAGCTTCGTCATGTATAATGTTCTAGCACCCTCAGCTTCACGTGTATAATGTTCTAGCACCCTCAGCTTCGTCATGTATAATGTTCTAGCACCCTCAGCTTCACCATGTATAATATTCTAGCACCCTCAGCTTCACAATGTATAATGTTCTAGCACCCTCAGCTTCACCATGTATAATGTTCTAGCACCCTCAGCTTCACCATTTATAATGTTCTAGCACCCTCAGCTTCACCATGTATAATGTTCTAGCACCCTCAGCTTCGTCATGTATAATGTTCTAGCACCCTCAGCTTCACCATGTATAATGTTCTAGCACCCTCAGCTTCACCATTTATAATGTTCTAGCACCCTCAGCTTCACCATGTATAATGTTCTAGCACCCTCAGCTTCACCATGTATAATATTCTAGCACCCTCAGCTTCACCATGTATAATGTTCTAGCACCCTCAGCTTCGTCATGTATAATGTTCTAGCACCCTCAGCTTCGTCATGTATAATGTTCTAGCACCCTCAGCTTCACCATGTATAATATTCTAGCACCCTCAGCTTCACCATGTATAATGTTCTAGCACCCTCAGCTTCACCATGTATAATGTTCTAGCACCCTCAGCTTCGTCATGTATAATGTTCTAGCACCCTCAGCTTCACCATGTATAATGTTCTAGCACCCTCAGCTTCGTCATGTTTAATGTTCTAGCACCCTCAGCTTCGTCATGTATAATGTTCTAGCACCCTCAGCTTCACCATGTATAATGTTCTAGCACCCTCAGCTTCGTCATGTTTAATGTTCTAGTTCCCTCAGCTTCACCATGTATAATGTTCTAGCACCCTCAGCTTCACCATGTATAATGTTCTAGCACCCTCAGCTTCACCATGTATAATGTTCTAGCACCCTCAGCTTCGTCATGTATAATGTTCTAGCACCCTCAGCTTCGTCATGTTTAATGTTCTAGCACCCTCAGCTTCACCATGTATAATGTTCTAGCACCCTCAGCTTCGTCATGTATAATATTCTAGCACCCTCAGCTTCACCATGTATAATGTTCTAGCACCCTCAGCTTCACCATGTATAATGTTCTAGCACCCTCAGCTTCACCATGTATAATATTCTAGCACCCTCAGCTTCACCATGTATAATGTTCTAGCACCCTCAGCTTCACCATGTATAATGTTCTAGCACCCTCAGCTTCACCATGTATAATGTTCTAGCACCCTCAGCTTCACCATGTATAATGTTCTAGCACCCTCAGCTTCGTCATGTATAATGTTCTAGCACCCTCAGCTTCACCATATATAATGTTCTAGCACCCTCAGCTTCACCATATATAATGTTCTAGCACCCTCAGCTTCACCATATATAATGTTCTAGCACCCTCAGCTTCACCATATATAATGTTCTAGCACCCTCAGCTTGGCCATGAATAATCTAGCACCCTCAGTTTCGACACAGTACAAGCAACAGCTTGTACTGTGTCGAGGCTACCGTCCTCTGGCCCCTTCCCTGCCTCACTCACCATGTTACCGAGGTCTGGTCTAACTGTGATGAGAAGTGAGAACTCCTTCGGGAACCCTTCAGGGTAGATGTCCCTGGTTTGGACCAGTAGAGGACGATTCCTCACTGCTCGCCATGACCCAGGACGCGTGCTCGACTCTCTCCACCCAAATTTGCTAGGTTTGTAGTCCTTGTCTTGCAGGTGTAGTACGTCAAGAGTTCCTGCCAAAAAAAGAGAAAACAGGGAGATCTGAGTATCTAAAAGTGCTACAGATCCAAAGGTGCATAGTAATTATCGTTGTTTGACAGTTTTCTGTGTACATGTCGAATGTAACGATTGCAATATCACGAGCAAACCTTCGACAGATTTCTCATTAAGAATATGATTGCCACTGCTAACCACTGGTTATGGTTTCCACTGCTAACAATTCAACTGAAAAAAATGCCATTCAAAATAGCCACCAGGACAAAACCGGTATAATACAAGAATATACTAAGGTCACATCCGTCAGTAAAATAGACTACGATTGCATGTACCATTTACCTCATCATCTGCCTCATCATTTCACCAATCGCTCTTTTTCCTTCCCGTGCCCTCTTTCCTATACCCACAAACTTGTGCCCACTTTGTCACTGCATTCTTAAATCTACCACTCCTTGCTGATTATGCATAATTTCTCTGGCCGACCTTTCTCCCCATAGTTGCGTATATTTAAAGCCTCCCTACCGTCCCCTTTAATTTAATAACCTTCATTTCTCTCTTTCCCAATGGTGGTATTTTCCTTATATCCCATCTACCTCATGCTATCGCTGTAGTTGCCACTAAATAATGATCTTATATATCTGTCGTATCTCTAAACATGAACATATCCCGAAGTCTACCCATCACTTATTTATATACTAATATATATCCTAGTTAACTGTTGTCACTACTGTACCCCATATAACTTAGCATGTACGTATACATATTTATCCTCTTTTTCCATAAAATGCATATTACCTTTTATCAAAACTACTTTCTATACACAATTCAGTTAGAAATCATAATATTACTTACTACTGGCTTTCCAAATGCACCTGCGATGCATATACAACAGTTTCTGCCACTTTAGCACCAAGATTTCCCATCACAATTATTTTTTTCACCTGGTTAAAGCTTCCAAATACCAGCTGTACTCCCCAAAATTTCTTCCACTCCTCTGCATATCTCTCTTTCAGAGATACATATACATTTACTGCACCCCAATTCTCACATCCAGCCCTTATTCAAAACCACAAAATTCTTGAGTTTACAAACCTCTATTCCTTCTTCTTCTTATAATAATAATAATAAATCATTTATACAAGTACATGTACATTGTGTACAGTCCTAGCTGACATATCATATACAGAAAGCCCCTTGTTATGCAGAGTATTTTGAGCAAATTAGGTAAATTTTGTCCCCGCCATGCGATCCACACCAGTTTACTGACACCTAGATACCTATTTCACTGATAGGTGAACAGGGACAGCAGGTGTCTTAAGGAAATACGTCCTAATGTTTTCATCCGTATCGGGCATCGAACCCCGGACTAGAGTATGTGAGCTGGGTGCACTAGCAATCGAGCTATGGGGCATTTCTTCTTCTTTCAAGTCGATCATTTAACATCACTACCCTATTTTTTTGCTCTGATTTTCTCGGATACAAGTGATTTAATCCCATTAACTCTTCCTCACTGAAATTTTTCTAACCACTTCTCCCCCCCCCAACTCCCGTCCTCTTTAATCTTTCTTTCGCTTACAGCTAAGACTTCCATCTTCTTTCCACTCACTACATTTACAATCATTTCTTTATTATCCACACTACACCCACGTACAATAATGTTTAAAGTAAGTTACAAAGTACTTACCATTACAGGAGAAGTAGTTACAGCGACGTCGTTCCGTGTTGTAACCTTGACAGCCCTTAGCGTGTAGGCAGTACCTGTAATATTGAAACCCGTCATTATCTACAGTAGACATATATATATATACGAGGGTAATGCAGATACCGATCTATGAACATGTTATATTTGTTGATATTACTTGTCTATCTACATCAGTGATACTTTAAATCTAGTTTTAACGAACTGCTTCTTTTATTATACCATACGTCTCTATGTGTGTATTACTTTGATGGATTTATCGTACTTATGCAGAGAGTAGGAGGAAGAGAACAAGGCTTTCAAATGAGCTATTGTAGGTAACATCTCTTAGCTTGTAAATAAAGTTAGAAACCTTAAGCTAACCTTGTAAATCCCTGTATAAAAGAAAGGAAAGAGAGAGAGAGAGAGAGAGAGAGAGAGAGAGAGAGAGAGAGAGAGAGAGAGAGAGAGAGAGAGAGAGAGAGAGAGAGAGAGAGAGAGAGAGAGAGTGAGAGAGAAAAAATATTAACTCCAAGGGGTTTACCCTTCAACCCCTCTTTCCCTCCTCCCAATTTTTAAGGGACGGGATATACAGTTTATCATGAAGCACGGAGCCGTGAAATATCCAGCATACCTAAAATACCTGTTTCACTTAGCATGAATTAAGTGTTTCAAGCAAAATAACTACATTTTCATATCATTGCTGTACTTAAATACGGGAAAGAATTGATTTACCTTATTTTTTTAACAAAAGAGTACCTGTTCCATTTCTCCACTGAATGGGCATTATACTTATTACCAAAGAAGGAACATCTATTTTCTCTTCCTAAGAGACGAGGTATCCAGACTGACAAAATTATAGCAACACACACACAGTTTAGGATAATCTCCAATATTTATGGTAGAGCTTGGGTTCCCTGGCAGTATACGAGGACTTGTGCTTCGTATAATTTATTTATTTATTTATTTATTTATTTAATAATTTGAACATACAGAGGTACAAAAAAATACAGGTAAGAGCAGTATGCCAAAACCACTTGTATGCATAGCATTACGGGCTGGCTTAAAATTAACTTAAGATTAACTAAGCAATGATGTAATCAGTGATAAAACATTATTGTAAACAGATAACAATAAAGCACAAATGAGTATTACAAAGACAGGTCATATGGTTGCATACATTGCTGTACATTCAGTAGAATGGAGTATTCTGTTAGGTAGTGTATTTAAAAAATAACAAAGTTAAATTGGGTCTTAGGTTTAACATTTATGTGATATAATTATGAGAAACATTTAAGATATACAATTTATAAGGTTCAATTATTCAGTATTTATTTGGTTTTGAGTGAGTAAGTGATCTTTGAGAAGAGACTTGAATTTATAAACAGGTAGTGTTTCTTTTATATTTACAGATATTGAATTCCAGATTTTAGGGCCTTTTATGTGCATTGAGTTTTTGGATAGCGTGAGATGGACATGAGGAACATCAAAGAGTGATCTGTGCCTTGTGTTATGGTCATGAGGTCTGTTGAGGTTAGCAAGGAGATGTTTGAGGGGAGGGTTAATATCAGAGTTAAGTGTTCTATGTATGTAATAGGTGCAGTAATAAGTATGGATGTTTTGTATGGTGAGTAGGTTTAGTGTTTTGAATATTGGTGGAGTGTGTTGCCTGTAGTGGGAATTTGTTATCATTCTGACTGCAGCCTTTTGTTGGGTAATTAGTAGTCTGAGATGGTTAATTGTTGTTGAGCCCCATGCACAAATTCCATAGGTGAGATAGGGGTAAATAAGAGTGATATAGGGCCAGGAGGGCTGACTGTGGAACATAGTATGCCTACGGTCTTGGAAATTTTCTTAGAAATTTGTTGTATATGTGTATGAAATTTGAGTCTATTATCAAGGTGGATTCCTAAGAATTTTCCCTCTGTTAGCTTTGTGATAGGTGATCCGTTTATCATTATGTTAAGAGGGACATCTGTAGCTCTGTTACCAAATTGAATGAAGTAGGTTTTGTCAATGTTTAGTGTAAGTTTGTTGGTCCTCATCCAGGTAGATATTTTCTGTAATTCAGTATTTACAGTATTGGCTAGCATGACTGGGCTCGGGTGAGAGAAGACGTATGTAGTGTCATCTGCAAATAGTGTGGGTTTGAGTAAATGCGAAGCATTTGGTAGGTCATTTATGTATAGGAGAAAGAGAAGAGGGCCAAGGACACTTCCCAGTGGGACACCAACTGTAAATGGTTGTGCGGAAGAGTTTGCCCCATTTGTGTACACATATTGGCTTCTGTTGCTGAGGTATGACTTGAGGTAGTTGAGGGAGTGCCCTCTTATACCATAGTGTGACAATTTTATGTGGAGCAAGTCATGGTCAACTGAATCAAAAGCTTTACGTAAGTCAATGAAGATCCCCAGTGGGACTTCTTTTTTCTCTATTGCAGTGTATATATGTTCTAGCATGTGTATAATAGCATCATTAGTATTTTTATTAGGCCTGAATCCAAATTGGCAAGGGTTGAGTATGTTTTGGGAGATGAGGTAGGAGTAGATTCGTTTATGAATTAATTTTTCGAAGATTTTTGAGAGAGGGTGTAAGTTGGATATTGGCCTATAGTTATTCAACTCTGTTTGGTCTCCTCCTTTATGGATCGGGGTGACCCTTGCTATTTTGAGAACTGTAGGGAAGGTAGAGGATTCAATGGATTTGTTAAAGAGTGTTGCAATGATTGGTGATAGCACTTGTGACACTTTTTTGTATATAAAGGGTAGTAAGGTATTTAAATCTCCTGTCTTGTTTTTTAGTGTGTTGATAATAAGGGAGACTTCGTATGGGTTAGTCGGAGCTAGGAACAGTGTGTTCGGGTAGTTGCCAGTGAGGTAGTCATTTGGTGGGGTATCTGAGCTTGGGATTTTATTGGCAAGGTTTTTTCCTATAGTGGAGAAGAAATCATTTAGTCTGTTTGCTGTTTCTGTTGGTGGGAGTTGGGGTTCATCTGATTCTGCTAAATTAATTTCGCTATTTCGTGGTATCTTTTTTGTTCCTAGAATTTCTGATAAGTACATTGTCTACAGAGAATAACACTGCAAACATGAGTGTAGAATTATCAGTTAGGAAGTAAAGTAATAAGTTACATAAACCAAAATTTTAATAACGGCCTTGACTCAAAGCGCTGCCATCTTGTGCCAGTCTTATCAAATAGCATCTACTCGCCAAGCAACGCCTGCTAATCTCATCTACTCCTATCTACTCACAAAAAACTATCTCCTGCTAGTCTTGTCTATCATCTACTTACCAATCATCGTCTACTAGTCTCATCTACCACTATCTACTCACAAAGCCATCTCCTGCCAGTCTTATCTACCATCATCACTCATCGTCTACTAGTCTCATCTACCACTATCTACTCACAAAGCCATCTCCTGCCAGTCTTATCTACCATCATCTACTCATCATCTACTCATCGTCTACTCATCGACAGCTTCTTCTCGTCTTACAAATAACTCAGTAAAACCTTGAACACGTTATCAACACATTTTTCTTTATCATGCCAAAATTCCCTTCTGCGAAGGAATACTTGATGAAAGGCTTTTGTTCCAGGGAAGTTCTTGCTACTCTCGCCTTCCTTGGATCAAACATGATTACCTTCCATTCCGAAGAAGCTGTATGGTCCCCTACTAGTTTAGCGCTTCCTTACTTTCTAAGAAACAATTATGAAATGGAATAATAATACTAATAATATTATTAATAATAATAATAATAATAATAATAGTAATAATAATAAATAATAATAATAAGTTGCTAATGAAGGGCTCTTAATCCAAGGAACTGGTTTTACCCTCCCCTTCCTTGGATCAAGCCTCATTATCTCTTATTCCACAGGCACTGTATGACCTACTGATTTAGCGTTTCTCTACGATTCCTTTCTTTTTTTTTTGTTATTTTTATTATTATGGAACTATTATAATTATCATCATGTACGATTATCGTTATTATTATAGAGCTATTATATATAATTATTATTATATACATTATAGAATTATTATTGTTAATTGTAGAATTGTTATTATTTGTGGTGCGGCATGGTTCCATTCAAGAACTTTATTGCACGCATTTCTGCACCATACATTTCTCCTCTTAGCGGAATGACAACGCGAGCTCACAACCATGAAGTTAACTAGGAAAAAAATAGGGACAGAATTCGTACCATAATGGGTGCGTTGGGCGGTGCCATTAAGCTGTTATCCACCAACATTCCGACCATTCTCTGGCTTCACAATGCTAATTCCTGGCTTCACACAGCTTTGTCCTCATTTCAGGGGAATTGCCAATGTGAGACTATAATTAATAATTTCCTTATTTTCCCAGCGTAGATGCAGTAGTGTTATTATTTATTAAAATAAACACTCGTAGATACCCCCTCCCCCCTCCCCACACATATAGGAGGAGGCGTGAGGAATGAACTCAAGAGGCAAACGACTTCATAATAGGGACATTCTTACTGTGGGTTCCAAGGTTATGATTAACAGTGATGTAGAAACCCCACTTATCAGCGACAGACAAAGACATGAGTACGACGATGCTAATGACAGTGATGCAAAGCTGCTATCATTGGGGACTTTACCGACAAGGAAATAACTAGGGGAACCTGGAGTTGCACTGGGGACCAGAAATGCGGAGGGATAAGATCCTGAAAGGTGGTAATGGAGACTTTCATGATCCATCGAAGGGCACAACCAGGAAGAAAGGAGGGAATGAAAAAGAAAGGCTACACCTGAGTGATTCTCACGATTCAGCCTTAAGGGATATTGAATACGAGAGGCTCCTGGGTGATATCAGAAACACTACGAGGAAAACACTTCTTTTAATTCTCTCTTTAATGATTAGAATAAGAGTGTACAGTGACACGTTAACTTCCAATACTCTAAAAATTTAAATTACCTGTCGACACGATACACTGAAAGATCTTAGAAAAGTATTATGTCTCAAGCTTGACTGTCAAAATAATCGAGGAAGGTAAACGACTCCAAGAGAGACGAATGCAAGTGTAGGAATGCTAAGTGCATTATTCAGGGTGGCTCGGTGCTATATACACTATCTTCCTACCTCTGAGAAATATCCCCTCACCCTACTTGTTGCAACCTATGAAACAATGATTAGTTCCTCAAGAAGCACATGTGAAAGTACGAAAGGCATACAGCTAATATTTTCCATTCCGAAGTAGCTTAATGTGCGCATTTTGTTTCGCCTGTTTGCAGTTGTCGTGTATCATAAATGCCACCATCAACACTGGACTTAGTTCTCTCGTCTTTTTCCTAGAATTGTGATGTTATCTTCTACAAACATTCAACTTCCTACATCCCATAAAGTCTTCCTCAAACTATTGTCTTTGTGTAAGTGCATCAGTGAACAGGTGCTACTGATATTCTTCAGAAGTGGTTGGTCAGAACTGTATTGAAAGTTATGACACATGTGCAACATCTGGATATCTTTATTGTAGACGTTTCGCCATCCAGTGGCTTTATCAATACAGATTCCAGGACATAATTAGAAGACAGAACTATATACAAAAGATGAGGTAATCAGTCCCTCAGCCTTGGAGTTAGTGTTCACAGCATCGTGGTGGTGGAGAATCTGGAGCAAAGGCAAGAAGACTGGCGGTTATAAAGGTGTCAGTGGATAAGGACGTGTAGCAGACGAGAGCATAGTCACTGGTAGGCGGGATTCCTCACTAACTTCAAGACTGAGGGACTGATTACCTCATCTTTTGTATATAGTTCTACTGTCTTCTAGTAATGTCCTAGAATCTGTATTGATAAAGCCAGTTGATGGCGAAACGTCTACAATAAAGATACCCAGATGTTGCACATGTGTCTTAACTTTCATACTGTCGGTATTTTATACCTTTCTTGCACAGAACTGTATTGTTCAGCCAGCTGTACAGGTTAGTGCTTACTAAAAATATTGATTTAGGATGACATGAAAAGAAGTTGATTTTAATTGATATGAGGAGACCCCTTATCAAATTCTTTAACATGTTTAAGTTGATATGATTACTTGCATGATTACAGTTCTGGGGAACGCATCCACGCTATTAAATTATATAATATTGTATCACAAAGTGATTGAATCCCACATACGAACGCGGAAATTTCTGTCTCTTTCCCATCTGTCTCACTAACCATGTGCCTTTCTGTGTTTACTCCATCGGTCTTCCTCACTACTCTATCTCTATTCCTTCTTTCTCCCCTCTGCATCTCTATCTGTGTGTGTGTGTGTGTGTGTGTGTGTGTGTGTGTGTGTGTGTGTGTGTGTGTGTGTGTGTGTGTGTGTGTGTGTGTGTGTGTGTTGTGTGTGTGTGTGTCTGTGTGTGTGTGTGTCTGTGTGTGTGTGTGTGTGTGTCCTGTGTGTCTGTGTGTCTGTCTGTGTGTCTGTCTGTCTGTGTGTGTGTCTGTCTGTCTGTCTGTCTGTCTCTCTCTCTCTGATAAATTAGACACATGTGCAACTCTTGGGTATCTTTATTGAGGAAACGTTTCGTCACACAGTGGCTTTATCAGTCCATACAAAGGAGAAACGTGAAGAACAGGGGGAGAATGAGGTAATCAGTCCCTCAACCTTGAGTCGATGTGGTCAGTCCATCAATCTTGAATAGAATACAGCATATGTGCGGAGAAGTAGCTTATATACCGTAGGCAGGAGAGGTGCAGCAGTCGTAGGTGGTGTCACATTTGTTCAATGTGGAAGTAGGTCGTGCCCAAGGGTTAGGCAATACTTGGGAATTCTTCGCTTGTCTAACCCTTGGGCACGACCTACTTCCACATTGAACAAATGTGACACCACCTACGACTGCTGCACCTCTCCTGCCTACGGTATATAAGCTTCTTCTCCTCACAAATGCTGTATTCTATTCAAGATTGATAGACTGACCACATCGACTCAAGGTTGAGGGACTGATTACCTCATTCTCCCCCTGTTCTTCACGTTTCTCCTTTGTATGGACTGATGAAGCCACTGTGTGACGAAACGTTTCCTCAGTAAAGATACCCAAGAGTTGGACATGTGTCTAATTTATCAACGTGTCGGTTCTCTGAACCATTCATCTACTCTCTCTCCCTCCCTCTCTCTCTCTCCCTCTCTCTCCCCTCTCTCTCTCTTCCCCCTCTCTCTCTCTCTCCCCCTTCTCTCTCTCCCCCTCTCTCTCTCTCCCCCTCTATCTCTCTCCCCTCTCTCTCTCTTCCCCCCTCTCTCACTCTCCCCCTTCTCTCTCTCCCCCCCCTCTCTCTCTCTCTCTTACTCTCAGATTCTCATTACAGTAACTGGTATCCGAAATTTGAGCTTCCAGGAACCAAGCTATTACACTACTGGGCCTAAACAAAATGGCAGTACCAGGAATTATCCACGAGTGATCGAGGACGAAAGGGATGGGCGTGAGAGAATTACCATGCCTGATCCAGAGTTACCAGGAGCCAACATAGTACCAGGCCTGGCCCCAGGCCTGGCCCCAGGCCTGGCCCCAGGCCTGGCCCCAGGCCTCAGGAGGAAACAAGGCCGAGCGTGAAGAGAGATCATTGACCAAGGGAAAACCCCTGTGACGTACCTTCTCCTCTCCTGGGTTCCACTGTCACAGGAGGCGCTGCACCCAGACCAGTCTGACCAGCCGTCCCATCCTGAGAAAAAAAGTATAGAGTTAGTACAGTGTTGTGGTTCAGGGGAGAGGGGGAGGGGCTGTAGTTGAGTGGTGCGAGGCAGGTGGAGAGCGAGAGGCAGGTAAAAGGCAGAAAAAGGGGAAAAAGACACAAATTGATAAAACAAATTAATATATGATAAACGTAATCTTTGAAGAATGAATGTGTGTAACTCTGGTTCGCTGAAATGCATCTCATTACCTAAATTGCTTGCTTTTTAGCTGTTTTAAATAATGGGTTTACTGTCCGCCGGTATATAATAGCTACAGTTTTAATGTTTTTGTTTCTTATTGTTTATTTTAATGGGTTCCCTGAAATTTAGCTGTTGGAAGTTAAAATTCACTTCATTGTACGAATCTTCTGTAAGCAAATTATATCTTCATATGTACTGTCCCATACGTTTCCTCCTCTCATTTTTTCCATTTTGTCCACTTTTAATAATAATAATAATAATAATAATAATAATAATAATAATAATAATAATAATAATAATAATATATTTCTACAAGTACATGTATAAGCCTAGCTGACATCAGTGACATACTAATATATAGGAAGTCCCTTGTTATGCAGAGCATTTCGGGCAGATTAGGTCAATTTTGTCTCATGATGCGACCCACGCCAGTCGACTAACACCCAGGTACCTATTTTACCGATAGGTGAACATGGACAGCAGGTACCTTAAGGAAACATGTTTCCAGTCCTACCAGGGATCGACCCCCGGGCTTCAGTGTGCGAGTTATTTAAGAGTTGGGTTTTGTTTGCTCTTCAGTGCTATTCAGAACCCGCTTTTGATATAATAATTTTAATGATGTAATTATGTCCTTATATATGCTGCACAATAATTATTCTGTTTTGTTTACATTCATCCCCCGTAATACTATACACGATTAATTTTCTATAGAATTCAGTCTATGATCAGAATACTTTTTTTTAAGTTGTAATTTTGACCGCAGAGTTTTTCCTCCTCCCGAACCATATCTTTTTCCGTTACTTCGTCACTTTGATATAATATGTTCACTCACTTTTCATTGCACACTCACATTATTATTATTATTATTATTATTTATTATTATTATTATTATTAAAGATTAGCCGGTATTCTCCCGGCCCGGGCCTTTTCCAAGTGGTGGCCCGGCCTTGGCTCCCTCTTTAGGGAGTGTCTGAGACCTAAGTCTCCCATGGGAGGAGGCACAAGTACCTCCTCATCTTTGGGACCAACTGTCCCCAGGCCTAGCCACAAGCTAGGCCTCTCTGGTCTGCCATCCCCGCCCCAAGGGGGCTAATGGGAATGACAGTCTTATGAGCTAAAGGCTCGGGCTCAGGCACCTACCCTACCCTAGAGGGGCTGGCATGGTGTCGATCGCACACTCACAGTCCATTGTACTCAATTATATGGAAATCCTCAATTAAAATATGTCATGAGCTTTTAATGTATTATTTTGTATTATTTTTCTTCACTATGTGTTGCTAGACGGTGAGTTGTATGCACATTCAAATAGGAATTTTCGGTTTTTGTCTTTCAATATCACCATAAATGTAAATATATTTTTAATTTACATTTTTAAGTATTTTTTTTTCACTAAAGCAGTTCCAGTTCTATTTTCACCAACACTGTATTTCATACAAAGTTGTATATTACAACTCCTCCCCAGTGAGTCTTATGTTCCTCTAATTTCGTTTCAGTTAAAGCCACAGGATCGGGTTCCTCTATTGGGTGATAATATCAGTCAAGGCTGAGGGACTGATTACATCATCTTTTGTATGCAATTCTACTGTCTTCCAATTATGTCCGTGATTTTGTGTTGATAAAGCCACTGGATGCTAAAATGTATACAATAAAAATGCCCATATGTTGCACATGTTCCTAATTCTTCTTCTTGTGGGCATTGTATACCATACACGCACAACAAAAGCTTCCTTCTCTTTCCTTGAATAAAACCTGATTACCTTTTACTCCCAGCTATGCCTCTATTGGTTCAACTCTTCCCACTACTAAATAATAACATGGATAATAACATAAATATAACGAGTATTTCATTAACGTAAAAGATTATTGCATTGTTTATATCTGTGTAACGTAACCACCAGTAATAGAAATAATATTTAAGGAAACAGTACTCAAGCAAACTCACTCGTACCCAGGACTGCAGCATTATACAGCGCTGTCAGTTTGGAATCACCAACGTTAGGGAACAAACAAAACTGTTTTAAAAAACCTTGACATACTCCACGTACTTCCTGAAAACAGTGAACAAAAATGGGAATATTTATTGCCCAACTAAGAACATTTTATACAACTAATCATAACTTTCTCTTCCCTAAATAAAGAACTATGGAGCATGGACGTTATAAGATGTTTAGCATCAAATCTTATTTTCGTTAAAGATTCCATGATCTGACAAAAAAAAAAAAAAAAAAACATTGATTTTTGAAAGTTGTCCTAATGAATTGGCACTAGTCCGTTACTATTCCTCCTCTATATCAGTGACTTAGCCAATGTCTGTCAGCAGTTCAAACCATATGTAGATAGCACTACATTAGTCACATTAGGATGGACACCATGCCCAGCCCTTCTAGGGTAGGGTAGGTGCCTGAGCCCGAGCCTTTAGCTCATAAGACTGTCATTCCCATTAGCCCCCTTGGGGCGGGGATGGCAGACCAGAGAGGCCTAGCTTGTGGCTAGGCCTAGGGACAGTTGGTCCCATAGATGAGGAGGTACTTGTGCCTCCTCCCATGGGAGACTTAGATCTCAGACACTCCCTCAAGAGGGAGCCAAGGCCGGGCCACCACTTGGAAAAGGCCCGGGCCGGGAGAATACCGGCGAATCTTTAATAATAATAATAATAGTCACATTAAATATTGTCATGTTGTCATAAAATAGGATAGGATTTTGCCGCCAAAGTGGCTAGTTTACTGTGCACCTCATATCCATCCTGTTGACGATACACAAAAGGCATAGAAACTAGACCAAAAAGTGTTTACATTAGTACTTCTGGATTTATATCCCGATGTACTGCAATATTTCAAGTTTATAAATTTTGCATCTAGTGCATCATTGCTATCACCCTTCCTAAGAGGAAACCTGTCACCCATAGCTACTAAATTTACCTTGAGACAGTCAGTGCACATGATCCGGGTGCCATCTGGTTTGAGGTCCGTGAAACAAGGTGATGCCCACTGACTCAAGCAAATTCAGGAAATTATATATTAAATCTTGTATCTTATTTTCATTAATAAGAAATCTTCACATACCACATAGGTTATTACACCGTCTGTCTTTATATTCCTCAATAAGTGATCAAGAAACATGATAGTGAGCTGGGCAACATAAATATTCACTCTGACAACACCCAACAAGATGTCGCCTAAGTGAATAATTTACATAGCAGTCATTTACTATTCAGATTGTAAGAACGAAAATAAAATTAAATACGAGCGTCCAACTTATACACGAAGATGTAAAAGAAATAATGTTGGAAATTCTTTCAAAGATTTCTTAATTTGTTCCCCTCGATGCACTTCTCAAATTTACTACACATTAATTTACAAGTATTAATATATCATAGAAAACGGGCTGGGATCAACAATCAGAAACCAGTCTGTACACAGTAACTTAAGTTTAGGTTAGGTAAAGGTTGTCAGGAAACACAAATATTTACTGACGTGGGTCTTAGTCATGTGATGACCCGCAGCTGGAGCTATTGGTCATCTGACCGAGGCCTTCCGCTGGCTTACCGGTCAACCCCTTTAAAAATTATGGTTATGATATCGATACAATAAGACAAGTCTGCCATAAGAGTTATCCACTATTGGTGAAGGCAGCATGCACCACTCTGTGCTAGCAACTGAACTTATTATATAGTATCAAGTTAATTGTATTCTATGCAGTCTCGTTAATGAATAAGACATGTGCAACACTTAGTAATTGGCAACAAAGATGGAGAATTGTTGCACATATGTCTTATTGATCTCCTGCACTGTTCATTCACATGCCTTTCCATGCACTCTTCACTTGCAAGCAAGCCCCGCTTTACAGCGCTTCACTTCACAGCGTTTCGCTAATGCAATGGTTTTTAATTATGCTTATTCTTCATTTATTCAGACTTCCTACAATAAATATCTTCACCACTCACTATAAGCTAAGAACGAAAATATTTTAAGTAATGTGTGTACTGTGTATGCATTTTTTAAGGCCTAGCTCTACTTCTCACTTAATATATGATAGTTTTAACATGTTATCAGGCTTTTATATTCCTTTGAAATTGAAATAAAAGGCAAGGTTACACAGAACTATATCCGAAAAAGGAACACTTATTTTAAGTAGAAAGTTCATGCAAATACAAAGGGAAAAATACTGAACATTCTCCCTGAGAGTACAATATCTGTACATGCATTAATTCAAAGTAACAGCTTTGTATCCTGACACACAGCTCAGCGAATATCATTGCCATATCTGCATAAAAGTTAAAGTTACTTAAGTGCTACTGCTACCTGCTACACACCTGCACATTACCAGCATTGATTGTCACACTTCTTGTTACCTGTTTCCAAATCTTTAGTCACTATTCAGCAGGTTTTTATGTTATGCGTCTGGAGGTTGACATTAAACTTTGCTATCGGTCGTAAAGGTTATCATTCAATACAACTTATCAGTGTATATTATGAGATACTTTTATCGTGTAGCCGCTGCTTGTTTACCTATGACTCTTGTAATCTGCTGTTTTTCCTCCCTACGTCCATGTGTGTGTGTGTGTGTGTGTGTGTGTGTGTGTGTGTACTCACCTATATTTGGTTGCTGGGATTGAGTCTTAGCTCCTGGCCCCCGCCTCTTCGCTAGACATTACTACTAGGTCCTCTCTTTCACTGCTCCAAAAGCCTTGGCATACCTCTTCTTATACACCGCTCTCCAGATTGTCTCTGTCTCTGTCTGTCTGTCTGTTTCTCTTTCTTCCTCCCTCCATCTTTTGCTCTCCATCCTA